CATAACCTCAAAGTAATAATTTTACATTTATTTAGGATATATAGAGATATTTACAAAATTAACTGTTATTATTTTGTTCACTTTTCAAATGGGATAATTGCATTAAAATAACTACCTCCTACTTGTTTCAGTTATAAACATAATTTGCCTTTTCTAATCTCAGCAGAAAAAAAAGAAAGGTCATCTAGAAGAGAGCAGTAGTTTGTTCCACATGTTGTCTTTCAGACTCAGTACTACTATTGTTAGAGATCTCAAATACCCAGGTGTCTGCATCAGGAATATTAAAGTTCCTGTTAAACTGAGAAAAGAGAGCTACACTTACCCTTTCCAAGCAGTAGGTCTGCTCAGGGCTAACATCACATAGCAGTGCCTGGGGCCGCCTATTAGTACCACTTACTGCAGATCCAGGTGAGATCACTTGAAGTAGGGAGCAAAGGTAATTTTCTGCCACTTATCAACCTCCTTATCTCTAGCAGCAATTGGGGCTGAGTAGCATAGAAGAGTGGAAGTTACTCTAACGTGTATAGGCTGTGATTATTCCTCAGGTTCTGCCATCTACAGAGAAATCCTCCTCTCCCCACCAGGGCTTCTCTCCTTTCTGTGCAGCCCAAGGGAAGCAAACAAGGCTGAAGGAGCTGACCTTGAGTCTTGCCCTCACATTTTTTCCAATGTTTACAGCAGTAAATGAACACTCCAGCATTTAGCAACAATGCTAATTTCTTGTCTCCTTTGGCAAAGTAACGCTTTGTTGCATTCCAGAAAACTCCACGTATTTCTCATACCCGTACCATTCATTTTCTTGTCACCATCTTGCATGGCTTCTGCGAAGGAGCTGGTTGTATGCTGCCTGTTAGTGTCAGCAGCTGTCATGCAGCAAAAGCTACCTTGGACTCTTTTATTACAAGCCCTGTGTGTATCTGGAGATGGGCTGAGGGAGGCAGTTTGGGATCTGTGGTGTGCTCTTTGCTCGCACGTATAGAAATATATCTTATTGTTCTGCACCACCAAGTGGCCAGATGGAGCAGATAGTGTGAGACACCTTTGGATCCAGGCTTACCGCACTTACATGGATGGGTTTGGTTATGTTACGGAAGTTCATACTGTCCCGAATTAGCAACGAGAAAAAAAACCACATTAGAATATAAAGCTTCATATTTTGAAAGAAGGAAGTGTCACATTTTCTCTGGCATCCCGTAAGATGTTCCTGAAGGAGTATTATCAGAACTACTTCAGTTCTCATGTCAAACAGAGCTCTTTGGTGGGCTGTCAGCTGAAACTCAGGCATGTTTTAAGTATTTTGAATTAGTAACTTAAAATTGGCAGATGGTTCTGTAAATATGAGCCCAATATTTCCATATATCACATGAAGTGATTGTGCCAGAAGTAGGGAGAGAATGCATGTACCTTGCTTCTTTATCATGAGAGTTTAATCCCAATATCTTAAAAAATTGTGAAAATTGAACATGGCATTTCATCCAGAAAAATGCATTACATGGTCTAAAGAGGAGCTATTTTCCCATTCTTTGTACCCTATGTTCCTTGTGATCAGGAAGGTTCAAAGTTGAATTCTTAAGTAGTCACTCTAGAGGTACAAATCAGAGTGAGGTCTGTTGCTGGACACCATCACTTGTCCAAAATCTCCACATTATGTATCAGCTGATCCCAGTTGACCTGTACTAAAACCTCTTCCATCCAGCTCTTTCATAAACTCCCATTTCTCCCCTGTCACTGCAGGAGATGGGAAGAAGGACATACCCTGGCCCTTACATGGTGCTGAAATGCTGCTATGGTTGTGCATGTATTATCCTAAGTCATACACAGTATATTTAATATACTAATCTGATCTACTTCATACATCAGCCATGTATAACATGATGAGAAAAAAAGATGCTACTGAATTCAGTCATTGGCTGAGGATCTTAAATAATAATTTCCTAAACAGTATTTCTGTAAATAATATTTTACTTAAGTCTCATTTCAAAAAGTGTCTCATAAGTCTCCTACTGAAAGTCTTTGTTACCTGGATTTTTGTGGGTCACATGGATAGGTCCTCACTGGGAGTCGGGAACCCAGCTCAGCGCTTTATGCTTTCATGTATTTCAGTGGGAACCAGGCTGTTAACCTGCCTAAATATCTCGATTGGTCCTTTGGCTTCTGAGTGTTTAGACCCCTAGGTATTTTTCAGTGCCCAGCCCTGTAACCATATTCAGACAGCACAATTTCACCTGTGTCTCTGCGTATGGAAATTCCTAGTTCCTTATTGCATGTGTCACGTTGATTCTGTGAATTGGGCTTTGGAAGCTTTCAAAGAAAACTCTCTGACTTGGGCACATGTGGGATTGGACATAGGCCATCCATACAGAGCCTTAACACTTGTGTTTCTTTTGAAAATGGAATTTTTCCAAGTCCCTCTTAAGCCCCAAGGTCACAGTAGCAAGCGTCAGTCCTGACTTGTGTGTGCTCCCTGATGGTTGAGGAACTGAGAAGTAAAATTGGGATGGAAGGACTCGAAAGGCTTGAACAGGTTTTATGTATGTGCCTCGCCATTCCTGATGTAGTGCACAAAAACACAGGACAAACCTAGCAGGGATAAAAGCAGATGTTGAAAAACTAAACACGAATGCTGGAAATGTAAGTGTGCCTCTGGTTATTTAAATAAGAACAAATTAAGAAGGAAGAATAAAGATGAAAGGCGTTTGTCTGGAGTGCAGCGATGCCTGGAGACCTCCGCCACGATCAGAGCGACATTGTGCTGAGTACGCTGTGAAGAATTAGCAAAAGATTGCACCAGGGAGGACTTGCACACCAAATAGGTAAATCAGTCAAATATGATCATCTGAATTTTGCAGCTGATGCTGAGAACCGGAGAAAGATGAAGCGACTTGTCTAAGAATCGATTCCGGATTTGTCCAGGGCTCTGTGCACATCTCCTCCTTTCAAAGCAGTGCCATGCTGGGAGAAGAAAGTGTTGGCTACCCCCGAGGAGCAGGAGGTCACAAATCGGATGTCGCTTTGTGCTGCCGCTGAAATGGATCCTCGCTTCACCGGTCCACAGCCCGCAGCAGGGACGGCAGAGCATGCTGTGGGGGTCTCTGTGTCAACTGACTGCCTTCAAACCACAGCAGCGCTCCCACGGCGGCAGGCAGTAACGGGGTGATGCTCAGGGTTAAGGATTTGCCAGTTTTAATCTTTGAAATGACAGCAGCTGGGGGGACGATAGATTTACAGGATCCCAAATTGTAAAAGACCACTTGCAAATGTCCTTTGACTCCAAAAAAAGACAAGACTTTAGTGCTTGAGAATTGCTCTAAATGTAGATTGAAAGTCCCTTCGTTCTGATGAGGTGGTCACAGGAGACCACCATCACTTGCGTTTGCTGCTAAGGACTGCAGTACCGGTACTGCCATTGTCACGGGAGCTGGAAGCTTTGTAGACCACCTCTAGCAGACCAAAGATACAGAATGAGGCAATAGATTTGTCTTCCCCCATTTTTGTGCTGTGTGCTTATTTCCGTTTTATGTCTCAGGACACAGTGAATGTCTTTCCCCCAAAGCCATCACCGGCGTTGGGCCTGCAGGCAGTGCTGGGTGCTTTGCTCACCTCCTCTGTTTCATCCATATGATCCATATGTCATTCCTGGGAATAAACCCTGACACCGTTTGGAGTCAATGAGAGTTTTTGCCAATGATTTTCAGGGCAATGAGGATTTCATCTTTTGTTCATCCTGTGCCAGCTGGGCTAATGATGTTCAGTTAGAAACTGCTCTTTGTTCTAGTGCAGTCAAGAGGATTTTTGCCAATGATTTGAATGAGCATTGGATAAACCTTATGGCTAAATCCAGTCCTTATGCAGAAATCCATGAATCCTACTGAGTTCCTTTTCTCCCAGTGAAATTAATGGGAGCTGGATGAGAACATCTAAGGGAAGATTTAGTTCATATTTGTAACAATATGTTACCCCCTGATACTGGGCCTGCTTTGAAATGTTTATTGTTAAATCCGTGTATTTTTTGTTATATCTCATTAAGAACATAATACAGCCCTGGAAAGTACATTCTGAAAGGGTATTACAACAGGATTGGGATTACTGTTTGTGAGACACTTTTAACTAGGGGAAAATTTCAAATTCAATTTACAGTAATGTCAAAGCACAATTAATATATAGGCAATGATAAGAGGAACATGCAGAAGTACACATTGATAGCACTACATCAACAAATAAACTTTTGGTGCTAGTAATTAGGTACACAAGATTATTATATGTTTAATTGACTAAAGTGACAATTTGGAATTATATCTAGTCACATTTAATTGGATTTAAAACCTCTAGAGGAAAGGAAATGGAGAGCAGTGCAGAGCGGCAGCCATAAAAGCAAACTGATTTTCTAAACTCTGTTAAGACTCTGCATTAATATCCATTGCACAATAGTTTTTTAATATCCCTCAGTCTAGAAAGAGTAATGCAGTGATAGTCACAGACAGTGGGAGTAGTAAAGCATACTCAATTAGGTAGCAAGATAGCTGATTACTTTTGGTTTGGGTTTTTTGTTAAGATATAGTTTAATCAAAGGTGCACTATGTCTGAGTTGGCCATAGACAAGTGATGTTCTCAGACTGCCAAGTTACAGGGTATTCTACGTGTCGATGCTGTCCTAGAAGAAATGTAATTACATATAAGGTATTTTACTCACAAATACTTTAAAGAAAGAAAAAACAAAAGCCAAACTGAAATATTGTATGGCAGTCATTAAATATTTGCTCAGATTAAAATAGGGAAAAGCTGTTAAAGGAAGATGTAGGGTTGTTTGCTTGCAGATATTTTAACTAGATAAAAAATGTTTACTAATGCTTGTCTTAGTAAAAGTTAGACAAAGACTGAGAGTTATGTGTAATCTCTTGATACAAACCTCATATTACACTCTTTTTTAATATTACCTCCTTTAAATACTGCTGTATACACCCTTCCCCCCGTACACTCATTTATTCTGCTTTTGTTACCAGGAGCGCCATGATTGCTGACTATATGTACTGGCTGACAGGAGGCACCGAGCAGCATATAAGCAAGCTCATCAAACGGTATTGGCAGGTAAAAATTGATAGCCCAATGAGGAAGGAGGTGCTCATCTCACTATTAAGACCAAAATGAAGGATTACTGCTTAAAAGACTGCCGACAAAGGTAGCTCTTGGGCATATCAATCAACAGGACACTCTGTAGTACTACCGTATTTATAATGAAGTAGATTTTCCTGGACTAATTTTAAGGGCAAAATTCAAGGTTGTTAACCCTTGGCTCATACTTCAATTTTATGGACTGCTATAAAATTTAATTCTGGATACTGTATAGTCCCCTAAGATGTTTTTTGTGAAGTCTTCCTACCTTAGTGACACTTTCCTTTCGCAAATTTGCATGATACTAATCCTCTGACACATTTCCAAACTCTTCAACCGGAAGGGGAGGAAAAAATGACTGTAACGAATGGTCTCAGGGGAACCCAAAGCGCTCTGTGAAGGATGGCTGGGCAAGACCCGGGTCTACAAAGATTACTTATGTGGGGAGTAGGCCATTGACTTCAATGAGCCTCGTCTCTTGAGTGATACTTACTTGAGATGGCTGTTCAGCCACATCAGCACAAATGTAAGTTTAAGGGTACCCCCTTCTGCTCTGAGGAGAGCTCTCACACTAACCTGGAGGTGAATGGGTGCTAGACTATTGCTGCAGGAGCTTGTCACTGCGGGTGGTGTCCCAGCCTTCACCCCCCCAGTTTCAATGGGACCAAAGTGCACTTCAGAAGGAGTGCAGCACCCACGCCTCGGGTGGTGGAAGACCCTTCTGTCTCTCAGAGTGGACCTGGCCCTCTGGTCCTCCTTGTCCATACAAGGAGTTTAGTGATACTAGGAACAATATATGTCCCTTGAGATAAAATTGCAGAATCCAATTCTGATCCCGTTTATTTTGGGTTTATTCTGCGAGAACATCTGTGACATCTGTACTTTATGTAAAGTGGTGTAAAATATGTCTGACGTAAGCCAGAGTAATTAAGATCAGAATCCGGTCTTCTATCTTCACTCACTCAGTAAATTCTTCCTTTTAAAAACTATTATTAGCTGCATTCTTATTGGTAAAATGGAATAAATCTCACTCCTGGGAGCTACTGAATTTCAGGACTGCTGTGAGTGCAAAGTGCATCTCATTCAGAGCATTACCCACTGGCGAGTGTTTGCAGTGCCTGTGAACCTTCTTATATGCTTTCCAGCAGAGAATTTCTTCTGCACAGAAGAGTTTGATTTTTTTTCCCCACTGGGTCAGACTCATTTAAAATCTTGAGTTCACAAACAGGTTTTATGAAGGGGTCATTTCTTCGAAGGGAATGTCTTTTTTTGTCTCTTCACACTGGTATCCATTGACTTCCCTGCTTGATGTCATGGACACGAAGCTTCAAAGAATAAACCTTTAAAGGAGGAGCTGTCATAGCTGTCCTCTCCCTTAGGAGTTCAGAATGTCTTGCTATGTAACAGGGCCAAAAAAGTGGCGTGAAGGACAAGGCTCATCACGGTGCCGCCTCAAAGAGTCCAAACCAGAAGCTGTGGTTGGGCTAAGGTGGGAACGAACCAGACCTGAAGTGGGGCTACTGAATCATTTCCAGCAATACAATATCAGCATCATCACACAAAATAGATAGCAAGGGCCAAAGGATTTTGGCAGTGGTAGGATTCTAGTTCATCTCTGCTTCAGTCCAGAGCGCACAACTCATTTCTCTTCCTGATGGGGAGTTCACACATGGCCCTCCCTGGACCCCCGTGGTACCGAGAGGCACCACCACGCTGTTCGTGCCCCATTCCCACTCCTCCTCTGCCTTCCTCCTGAACCTGAGCTGCTGTCATCTTTGTCTGCAGAAGCTTTGAAATGTCAGTAGAGATCTAACCATTTGTTTGATCCCCCACGGTGCTTGATTCTCACTGGGAGACAGAGATTGCTTGGCAATTTTGTGCCTTTTGTGTGTACGCCTCAGCGTGGGCTGGGGTAAGGATTCAGCGGTGTCTCTGTGCTGACACACACGCAGAGGCAGCTGGGTGCCCAGCACTGCTCCCACTCAAGTTAATAGCTAGCACTTAAGAAATGCTGCTCATGAAGATATATCCCCAGCACCAGTAAACAACCTTTTCCTTCCCAAGCTGATGAGTTCTGTGCACCCGGCATCAGGGGTGACTTCAATGTCATTAGAGCACACAGCAACAATTATGCAGCATGATGTAGCGTGTGACACTGCACTGGGACTTCCCACCGCAGAGAGACCAAGCAGAGGTAACAGAATCTTTTTTATTAATATTCTCTCTATTTCAATGGTGTAAAGCTGAAAATAACTTGTCACGACTGTACATGCTCATGTGCCTTTGTAACCAAAGCAACAGCTATTGATGCACGCTTTTCTTGCTAACTACTCCTCTGCCCCAGAACTCGCTAGTGGTGGCTCACAACCGCGAGCAAAATTTTCTGAGGTGGAAGGGAATAGATGGTGAACAGGAGGGTTTGTTTTTCGCTCCTCACAGCCTGTCTTCTACTTCTTTCATGGCTTCAAAACGTTGTACAGACCACTCAAATCCTTTAGCTGACGTCTCTATTGCAAAAAATTCAGGCCCTTAATTCACATCTGCAAAGCTCTTTATTATTTATCCTACTTCTAAAGCACTGTTTTTTCTCTCCTGATCTATTCCTCGTGTTCAGAGCAGTCTTTATCTTGTATCTCCTTTGGTTTTCTTTTCGTGACTTTGGTTTTATACTTTCGTTTGAACTTCTTCTATCCCTGACATCAACTGCCAAGAGTCCTCTTTCTTCAAAACTCTTCTTAAAACATCCTCAAATCACTCCCCTCCTCATTATTAACTTCTACATATTTCTTCTTCGCCAGTGATCTGTTCCATGTGACTGTGTACCCCCTCTTAGGCACACTGCAAGGTTTATACTCTCAGATTTTTAAGGCCAGATGGGCTCATTTTGATGAATTTTCTGGATAAAAACACCACAGAATTGCACCCTTACCTTTCTGCATTGGTGCCAAAAGAGGAAAGCAGAGTGTGGTTTTGAGAAAGTTACCCAATCCCCATTTAAATATATTAATAATAAAATATTTACCGTAACCCATCTATTGGATAGATTTCCAAACTGAAATCTGACTTGTCCAGTCCAAGCTTCCAGCAAATTACATTATGCATTCAGCTCTTAAAGCTTAAAGATCCTTTAGTAGCTGTCGTCTTCTCCCTGTATCTGTACCTATGGATCATGATCAAGGTAACTTTAAATATTCTTTTTGATTCGTTTTTTGATTAGCTTTCTTTGATTATCCCCTTTAAAGTAAATTATCTATTTCTGGATCTTCTGTACAGTGATATGTAATATCTAATGCCCTGTGTTGGTTTTGAATATTAATATCCATCTTCCATTCCACACTCAGATAAAGGTATAATGCTGATGAGAGGTGAAAAAGTAATTTGCAATGGATAATACTATTCAGTAAGCTGGGCCTTTTTCTCTGTTCAAATTATTCCATGGATTGAAAATATACATTCCCAGTTAACATACAATCAAATGGATGGTCTTTTTTCATAACCCACTACAGAATATGCACTGGATGATTTGTGTATTAGCTGTTAGATTAAAAATAGGTGAGTTAAATAGAGTTAATCACAATAAATAATAATGTGAAAGTTATTTAATGTATTATGTGGTAGATAACTTCAGAGTGGTAGTAGTAAGTCAAAGTTTAAACTTACTTATTACTATAGTCAGGTAAGTTCCCTAGCATTTATTGTTAGCAATACAATTTCTCAACTAGTAACAGCAAAACAAACAATAGACTTGAGATATTTCATCCCGTAGAAAGAGTCTTTCTCCAAACTATTCGGTTTTACTCACACCTTTGTAAACTATTTCCACTGGCTAACAACTGTGCAATATACTCTGGATGTTTCATTCCATGAGTGAAAATACATCACGCCCATACTACGATGTCAGAAATGCCTGACATCTCAGGCTTATCTCATTAGCACGCTACAAATTTAATTGCTTCTGTTATTCCATTGTGAAAACTATGTGGCCTATTTTATACTAAAGGTTCAGCTCTAGAATCCGTTATGCCTTTATATCCAAAATCAATCCCATCTAGCCAAAGTCTTACATTAAGTGCCATTGCACCAGCAATGCATACGTTGCAGAAACTAACAGAACCCCAAGAAGGCTTTTCAAAGCCTGTAGGTTCATATCTGGATGATTCCATAACCATCTGTACTAAAAGTCTTCATTCCATAATGCAGCCAATGTGTATTTGCTGCAGCCCAAACGGAGACCTCTAATTTGCATTGGAGCAAACTGGGCTTTCAGCTCTAGTTCCAGTTCAGCCCCAGTGTTTTGGCCAAGATTGCAGTCATCATAGAGCAGCTCTTAGCACATTGAAAATACTTGCTCTGCAATTGCTGCACGTGGAGCTTGGGAACTTGTGTTTCTGAGAATATTTATGTCAGCTACGCTCAACATCACAGAGAAAGCTTCCAGTAGCACATGCATTGGCTGACGTGGAGGTTTGGGTACTCAGACATTTGTTTTGCTCTCTCGTCGACGTTATGAACATCAGGTGCTTCCCTTTCAAAAATCTGGGCTGTTGAAAGCACAGAGCAATACACACATCACACAATACAGCAAACGATAACCCAGCCCTGCGAGGTGGATGAACACCTACAGCGCAGAGACGAATGCTGTCAACTCCTTTAGAGCTCAGCTTTATCTCACACCTTGCAGGGTGATGATCCGAGGCAAGAAAGTTAAAAAGAGAAAGCTCTTGGTAGCCAAAACCTCCCCTGAAGTCGCAGCCGGTGCCAAGGCCCGTCAGCATCCCTGCGTGCTCACACTTGACCCGCATCCTACTCCGGAGCGTGAGGTTTCCAAGCTGGCAACAGCAGGGATGTTTTGCAATCCTCCTAATGGAATGACTGATAGGAGCTGACAGGCAGCCTCTCTGGGCAGCCTGGCCATCGTATCACTGAGAAAAATGTATTTCTCATTAATTCTTGAGGCTATTTTAGCAGCTCATGCT